CTTTCCCCTGGAAAAGCTCCCTGAAAGGGAGAGCGTGATGTGGGCAGATGCGAATTTCAGCCCACCTGCCTCCACCTAATGGCTAAGGAATCCAAGAAGCACTTTCGTGGTCCTTTCTCTCATTTCCACAGCCAGCACTGGAAATGGCGGTGCACGTGATAAACTGAAAGGATGTGCACATAAGAAACACCCATTCAAGATGCTCAGTGAGGCTCTCATTAAGTCGCCAAATGTCTGTGCTTAATGGTGGGTTACAATACGAAGTCGGAAGCCTTCCTGTGAAATTGTGATCGATTCATTTCTCTCTCAGAGCCATAGTGGTATAACATGTTTCAGCCCCACTTGGGTGCCATGCTGGCAGTCGGGGTGTCGCAGAGGGTGACTGGAGCTATGAAGTCCATGCTAATGATGTTGTACAAACCTTTCTGGTAAACACAACTGTGTGGTTAATTGAATTGAGCTCCCATTGCTGTTGAGAACAGCGGAGAGATAAGAAGCTTTCCCATCAGAATGTGCGGTCCTGTCTGGGGCCTCTCCTCAATACACTGTAGCTCTGTAGCTCTTTAAAGATAAGTCTTCACAATGTGCTTTGCCTTTGATGCCCCTCACCCCCCCCCCCCCCGAGTGTGTGAGCTGCCACTGTTTAGCCTGATCGGTGTGTGAGTGTCATCCCAAGCACTGAGCTGCTGTTTAGCTACTCCAGAAGAAACGGCAGCCTTGGACCACCATAAAAGGAGCCCGTGTTGTCATTCAACAGATCCTTTATCTTGAGACTTTATATATAGCTGTGACCTGGAGTCACATATACAAGCAGAAAGTCCCGGCCACCAGCTTGATGTGACATGTTCATGGAAGAAATTTCTCTCATAAATGAGTCTAATAAATTTCTCTCATAAATGCAGTTCCACTTGCATTCAGTGGAACTGAAAGAGAAAGCAGGCTAGGAGGGAAATTCCTAAAGAAGAAAATCTGAGTGCAGTATTTTCACCTGTCAGAAATGGGTGAAGACTTGTTTCTTCTAACTATTTTTAGTTCACATGGTTCTTGGTTTAGATATACAAATATCCTAACATTTTTCTACTCAAATTCCCTCTCTTTGAGGACCCGATACAAGCACCATCTATAAGAAATCCTAGTTAAAATTGATCCATAGACTTGTTCCTTTGGCTTTAACTCAGCAGATCCAATCGAGTACCTGTTCACAGCACTCATTGTGTTGGGCATTATCAGGAACCTGAAGAGTATATAATGAGCCCAGAATGGTGGGGCAAGGACATGTGGAAAGATGATGTCGTTTCATAAGAGGGACATGAGAGTCTGTGGGTTTGAGGATGTTTGATAAGTACCCATTTCTTGAAGACAACAATGATACTGTGTGTTTGTGTAAATACTTATGCACACACATATACACCACCACATGAATACCGCATGCATGTGTATCTTATATCTTTTCATGGAACTCCTAAACATGTAAATTTTTTTCTTTTTCTTTTATCCCCTTGGTCTTAAACTAAATTTTCCTGGAGACTTTTAATACTTGTTAGAATTAATGTTGCAATCTCTTATTTCTTTTGCTGTCTACTTTTCTCAGTTACTGGGGTTGCCTGTGGTTAGCATTCCTTTTCTCCTACAATTGGTATTTCTAATGTTTCTAAGGTAATTAATTAACCTACGTTAAAGACTGACATCAAATTGACATTCTAAGATAGAGGACAGATTTGCTCCTCTCCCCCCCCCCCCCCCCCGACAGAGTTTCTTCTGAGTACTTGCTTTGTCCTGGCTGTCCTGGAACAAACTTTGTCGACTAGGCTGGCTTCGAACTCACAGAGATCTCTGTTCCCTGAGTGCCAGGACTAAAAGCGTGCACCACCTTTTAACAGGCAGTTTTTGTTGTTCATTTTAGGGTTTAGGAACCAGGTTAGTGTCTTTTTCTTTGCATTAGATTTTGCTGCTGTTTTATTTATTTGTTAGTTAATGCTCATGTACCCTGTAGTGACATTTATGGATAAATCATGTCCAAAACAAATATTCAAACACCTAAACAACTTTGCATAATTGTATTTTCAGTTTAGAGCACAAATTCTAGTTTTTACATTATAGTTAAAATTTTTTCCCATTATAGAAAATATGGTTCAGATCTAGCATCCTGCAAATGGAAGCAGAAGGCTCTCAAATTGGGCTGCATATCAAGACCCCAAATCAAGAAAAGATAAGAAAGAAAAAGACTGTAAGTTGCTATAACACAGGTCACTTTAAATTGTCATCCTCCTAGCCTTGCTCCAGAGTGCCCCTTCACATAGAGGTGACTTCATGGGCAAAGTTCCTTTGCTCATTGCTCTGTACCCGCATTCATCAATGCCACATTCTTGGGAGAGCACAGAGGAGGCAGAGGGGACTCTGTGGCTGTTTAATCGGCCCGGTTAAGCCTTTAAGCAGATAATACAGGGACTTACAGGCTGATATGAGGCAGACGAAGCAGCTTATTCTTCATTTCTGAGCATCGTGTCAGGTGAATCAAGGGCAAGCAGTAACAAAATAAAAAGTCAGAATGTCTATTTTATGTTTCTATACTCTGCTATCCTTATTACTGAAGTAGAGTATTTGATTACTGTTAGGGATTTTGGAGACCCAGTAATAAAAATATCTTCCATTTCTGTTTGGATTGAGCACATCAATCAAGCAAAAAGGGATAGAAAAGAGAGAGCAACCTTAAGCCCCCTTATTTATGCACTGTGTGTCACAGTTCTGAAGCTCACTTCTCTGACTACACTTGAGAAGTCACTGAAGCCGCCGCTCAGAAGCAGATCTGGGTGTAGACTTCCAGCCAGGAGAGGAGGAATGGACCTGGGGGCTTGCTCTGAGTTGTCTTCATACCTCTTACTGGCTCATGTGTCCATGAGCTGGCTCCCCTGGAGTTAACCCTGGGATGTTTTCAGGCAACAGGATACAACGATGGATGTCTGCATGTGCTGAAATGGAGAAGAGACATTCTTGAGTCTCAGAAGTATATGGAACATTTCGAGTCCAGTGTTGGTTGTCCTATGTGTCTGCCAGGTCTTGTGTTGGCTGTATCATTGCACTTTATTTTATTTCATTCCAGCGCCAACACCAGGTGCCCAGACAATGTTTTTAAAGGATTGGTTCTAAACATTGTCCTTTCTGTTTTATGAAAAAGGAGAGTAAGTCTTAGTGAAATTATTTAATTCGCTCAAAGTACTGTAATTACAAGTGTTGAGAGTCGAATCTAGACCTGTTGCGCATGAAAACCTTTGCCACCCAGGTATTCTGAATGCTAAGAAATCAAACGACATTTATCCAAGCAAATTAGATTTTTTTTTTTTTTAGTTGAAAACCACTCTGGAACTGTGTGGTGGGAATAAGGTGACTCACTGATGTAAAGTATAGAGTATGGCTTCTTTTAAACTTTTTTACTTTGAAATAATTTTAGACTTACAGAAAAGATGCAAAAATAACACAGAGATTTCCCATCGGGCCATTCTTGGCTTCCCTTCCTGTTAGCCTCTTATATAAGCATGGCGTAATTACTGAGATGGGAAATGGATGCTGTTACAGAGCTAACTAAACTGCGAGCTTTACTCATTTCACCTTACTGCTCACTTCTGGCTCTGCATTTTTTTTTTAAGGGCAGGGATGCTATTTTACGGATTTTCATAGCCCAGTACCTGATAGGGAGTCTGACTGAGGGACGATGCCCACTGACTGCAGAAAGGGTAGCTCAATGAATGGACTTTCAGTCACACACTACAGCCTGGGAATCCTTGTGTGGATTTATGTCACATGGGTGTGAAGCACATGAAGAGACGCTGAGGCTTTGATTGAATGCTTACTATAGAACTAAATTCCACCTTAGGCTCAGTGATGAAGAGATTTCTTTTTACTATTCTCTCATATATTGCAACCTGACTGCAGTATATTATAGCCCATGACCCCTCTTCCTTTCTTCCCAGTTCCTCACCACATCTCCCTTCTCCCTCAGATTCACTCTTCCTCCTCCATTTTCCTTCAGAAAAGAGAAAGCCTTTCAGCGATATCAGACAAACACGTCATAACAAATTACAGTAAGATTAGGCACATCCCCTCATATCAAGGCTGGATGAAGCAACACAGTAGAAGAAAAAGGGTCTCAAGACCATGAAAAAGAGAGTCAGAGAAAATCCCTACTGCCACTGTTGGGAGTGCTTCAAGAATGTCAAGCTACACATCATAACATACATGCAAAGGACCTAGCTCAGGCTCCCTGATTATTGATCCAGTTTCTCTCATGAGGCTTTATGAGCCCTGGTTAGTTAATTCTGTGGGCCGGCCATTGTTTTGTGCTGTTCTCAACCCCTCTCTCTGCCTCCCACAATCCTTCCTTACCTTGACTTGGGGTTGAACAGTTTTAGAATTGTGAAAATACTTCAGTGTAAAGGAGAGTGGATGAACAAGATGAAAGAAAGATGTCACAGTGTGATCTTCCAACCGGACACAAAGGTCCCCCCTCTCTCTCCCTCTCACTCTAGCAAGTGAAGCAGCCAGTGGTTTTCAGTCTGACCTGCATTTCCAAGCAGATTGAACTCAAATGTTAGCCCAAGCTGTAGAAGTTCCCATGTTAAAGAAAAGTCCACGCAGATTGTTCCCAGGCATCCACTTGCTTTTGGCCTGAGTTAAGCCAAGATGAGATGATGTGAATCTGCCAACAGTGCTTTCTTACCTGGTTACTGTTTATTCCCACTTTTTAAAGCCGAAGACTATGTAACCTACAATGTTAAAGCACAAAATCCTATCACTGGTTTAATGCACCCCAAATAGTCTCTTTCCCCACTTGTTACCCTTTTCCTACTTTGTTTGGCAAGTCTTAAAACTATAAATGCAATAAATTATAGAAAGACAAGAGTGTAGAATTATTCTTCATTAAGCAAAGCTATAGTTCAAAAATTATGAAACAGCAATTTCCTCCAAAATTCAACTTTCACCATTTTCTCTATTTTATCATTTAGATGGAAGATGTCATAGCACGCATGCAAGATGAAAAAAATGGAATTCCCATCCGCACTGTCAAAAGCTTCCTTTCCAAGATACCTAGTGTCTTCTCTGGTAAGTGTGTATCCAGCACAGCTCCGCTTTCTTCACTGTGTGTTTCATGAACCTCTGGTGTGTTGTTAAACAGCAGCTAGTAAGATGCCATGGCACCTTCATTACGGTGTTTAGAACTTGGAAATGAGTGTAAGACATGACGTGAACCAAGAGTCCTAACTCGCTACAGGGTCTCACTTGAAAGACAGCATGAACGCATATGATAAAAGAGAAAAGAACCACATGAAAATAAATAGTGATGTGTAAAACAATGCCATGTAGACAGGATGTGGAAGTTGAGAGAGTGGCAGACAACCAAGGAGAAGTCAGGGAAGGAGTCTTGAAGCACAGCATTGCTCGGAATTGGGAAAGCCAGGAAGGATCTGATCACCAGGAACCACCCCGGTGTTTACCATGCTGAGAACTGGGCAATGACACAGCCAACAGGTCATGAGCAGTGGTGGCTCGAATTTGTGTCTCTAAAAGCCAACCACAGGACTGAAATTCCAATGAGCAGGGGTGATAAAGAGCTTTTAAATGTTTGTGTAGAATGTTGCGACGAGAGGTTTGGAGAGATGGTTTTGGGTGTACAGGCCTGATTACACATATTAAATTTGGCTCTGCATAACCCATGTCAAAAACTGGGTGTGGGGTATGCCTGAAACACCATAGCTTTTTGGTTCCGGTCCTGGAACTAGCTCTTGTAGACCAGGCTGGCCTCGAACTCATAGAGATACGCCTGCCTCTGCCTCCCAAGTGCTGGGATTAAAGGCGTGTGCCACCAGCGCCCGGCTAATTTGCTATTTTCTTATCTTTTAAAGGATGCTCTCAAAATGTTCACTTCATGGTTTCTATGCTGCTTAGAACAACACAGAAAAATAAATTTACCCTGTAATAAACTACTGGGAAAACAACATATTGGAAGATAAATGTGACTCCGCTTTCTTCTTTTTCTTAAACAATACAACTATAATTTCATTTTATTCTTTTTTTGTCTTGAAGTTCTTTGGTAAATTTAATATTCTATTCATAGTTTTTCTCATGACTCATTACTTATCTATTATTTTTTTTACTTGTTTATTTTTTATTTGAATTATTGAGGAAAGAGTCTCACTCTGCAGTCCAGACTGGACTGAAACTCATAGTGACCCTCTTGCGTCAGCCTCCTGAACTATAGGCCTGAGTGACCTCAAAAATTACTATGAATACATATAAACATGTGTATATATATATATATATATATATTTGTCGTACTGGCACTTGAATCCAGAACCTGGCACATACTAGTTCCAGAGCGCTACCACTGAGAATTACCCAAGTCCGTGTCATCTATTGTTGTTTTGGTCTGTGTATATGTAAGTGTACTTTTGCACATGTGTCTTCTTCAATTGCTTACCCGTGTTATTTTTTGAGGCAAGGTCTTTCCCTGAACCGTGAGCTCCATTTTCTGGTTGGGTTGGTGTATTGGTGAGCACCTGGGCTCTCTCTGTCTCCATCTCTCTTGCATTAGGGTTACAAGCCTACACTATGCCTGGATGGTTTCCATGGTTTCTAGGGACCAAACTCAGAGTCTCATGCTTGTGCAGCAAGTGTTTTACCCAATAAGCACCTCCCCAGCACGTCTGCCTTTTAGTGCCTTAATTGGGTATGTGGGAGCCCTGGGATATGAGCATAGTAGATGGTTTCAGGTTATATATAGGAGACATCTGAGATGAATTCTGAGGCAGTAGCTGAGAAGTGTCTGCTGTGCTTCTGGGAGTAATTTTTGCCTCAAATCCTTCTCAGTTCAAGTAGGGTGATCTACCTGGACTTTGGTCATACATTCTCCATTACAGTATAAAATGTTTACTCAAATTTGTGCCATTGTTTCTGCAGACTGGAAAAAAATAACTGTAAAGTTAAGGGCATATCTGTAGCTTTTTCTGACATTTTCTTTAAATGAATTTCATAGGTCCCAGTCTGCATGGAAACAGTTTCCCTAGAATTCATATCCTGTGACTTACGGTGTTCGTTCTTCTCACATCTGACATCTGTGGCGGGGCAGTCCGTGGCATTGTCGTCAGTTGAAAATGCTTCCTATCAGACTCTGAACGTCAGCACAATAGAGACCCATGTCCCAAACAGAGCAGAAAAGCCATGAATGCTAGAGGAGACCATTGATCTCACATATTAAAGATATTTGTTTGTGGTACTAGTATTTTACAGCTGTGCTATTTTACCTTGGCTACATGCATGCTTGAAAGAATCAAAATTGACAACAAAAGTAGGTACTTTGTTGCTTAACAAGCTGTTGAAATAATATATTTTTATGCTTTTTCTTAGAAAATACATCGCATTCTAAGAAGACTGAGTATATTTGAGTGTATATTTTTGGCTTATATAATCATGGGTGCTTTGGAGGCTAAGGGTCTAATAAGTTTACAATACATAATGGTCCTTAGGACCCATGAAAGGAATATTTGCTTTGTTAGTATTCTAATGTGTTCATAGTATTTGAATAAGCGTCTGAAGTCTGTTCTGCTTTCATTTATTTGAGACACAGTGTCACTCACTGTGTGCCCAGATTGATCTCATATTCACTATCTCCTCCCCTCAACCTCCTGAGTGCTGGGGTTGCAGGATTTCTTCACTATCTCCTCCCCTCAACCTCCTGAGTGCTGGGATTGCAGGATTTCTTCACTATCTCCTCCCCTCAGCCTCCTGAGTGCTGGGATTGCAGGATTTCTTCACTATCTCCTCCCCTCAACCTCCTGAGTGCTGGGGTTGCAGAATGGCCTCACCATGCCTTGCTGCCATTCTCTTTGCTTTGTTTTTAATGATAGTGATTTATCTTCATGTTGATATTTGGCATAAATATTAATCAGTAATTTAGAAAAGTACCACGTAGTTAGCGATTGTAAATACATTAATTTATTTCTTACGATATTCAAAATAATGAGTTTGTTTCATAGCAAATGATTTGGAAGGTCAGGAAGTTCAACCTTTCGTCCATTTCTGTCTTGTATGCTAATATTTAATCTATAGTGAAACTGATTTTGAAAACTATTGCCATTCTGACCTCTGCCTTGAGTTTTCCTTTGGGCCAAACAGCCGTTTTTACAGCATGACAAAGACATCTATTTCAGTCCAGCCTCCAGTCTGCAGCCCCCACCCCCAGGTGGAAATCTTCCAGAGTGCTTATAAAATGGCCTGGTCTTTGTTTCTTCTCTGGGTCACCACGTCCTTGGCTAAACCCCTCTAGTTTCTTCATCTCTGAAGTTTGCAGGTTAGGCCTAAAGGTTTCTTGCAGATTCCTCTCCTTACACAATTCAGAGAATCAGTGAAGGGGAAAGAAAGAAAGACTGGCTTAGAGTTGGGGAGCCCGGCGCCTAGGCTCTTCAGGGCTGGCTGTCCTTGTGCAAATGATCCCAGAGTAAGAGAAACTGTGGTGCGGTGGTGGAATTCACCCTCTGCTTCCTGCCTCAGGGTAATGCCACTTGTGCTCATGGTTTTCATTATGAATTCTATGCTAAAGCATTTGCATAATTCAAGTTTTTCTTTGACCTTCATTGAATTTAACTTCTAATATAATATTTTTATTTGAATATCTCAAAGAACCCCTCAAATTCAACATGTCCAAAATGAGATTCATTGTCTTACCTTCAGCCTCTTTTCATTTTTTGTCATTATCAAGATTATTATATGAATGTTCTCATTACCCTGTCTCTCCTATAACTTCTTCTCCTTGAGTCTACATTGCCATCAGGTGTTATTAGAATAGCTATACAATACTTTGTCTCACGACCATTTGCTCTAGTGTGACTCTAGTCTGAAATATGTTTTTTTTGTCCCTCAGAATTTACTTCTACCTCCTCTTTCATACCACTTTCTCCTGCTCCACAGGCATATGAAAATACACTGGTATTTTCAAATCTCCTGGCCCTCATGTCACAGTGCTCTCTTTTTTTCTAGCCTGCGAAGTCATTGTCCAATTGGACCCAGGATATCCTTACCATCTGAAACACTTCCTGCTCTGCATCCATTTGTTCTGTTGAGAAATCATCCCTCCTGTTCACACTGGTTTTCCTTTTTTTTGTGTCTTCTCCTAACACCATGTTCTCTCTTCTCTGAGGACTTTATTCCATCTGGTATTATAAAGTCATTCACGGTAGCAGTTGGTAATGCCCCTTGACAATCATGTAAACTACGGGAAGACTCCATATGCTCACTCCTGTCATCCCAGATTCAAAGTCCAGCATAAGAGGTGTTCATTAGATATTTGCTAGCTGGCTCAACAATCATTATAGGTTTTAGTGAGACTATTTGCTTTGATGTTGATTTAGAAATTTTCTACACTTTCATGTTTGTGTGGCTTTGACAACATATAAAAATTATTTAGCTTTAAAGAAGGACTTCTTGTAAAAGAACTGCTTAATGTTTTCAATGATATTTTAGTAAACAAAAATACTTTAAGGTTTTTTTCCATAGTATGTATCACATAACCTGAACCATGTAGAATTTTGCCAGGGATCCTGGATTAATGGTATTGGTTGATAAAGGTGACAGCTTAGAGTTTTTGTAAGGTGTGTGTTAGACTCATCCAAACAGAAGGGAAGCTTCTATGTCAGGACAGATGCCTAAAAGAGCACACATAACTCTTCAGTAACCCGTGTGAAAGGATGCCGTGTTTGGGGAGTGCAGGGGCATGAGTTAAGAGGAGAAGACAGGAGCTGCAACTCTAAGAACTTAGAATCTTGTTATGAAGAAAAAGAAGAAATTAATGTCTTAATATAATAGATTTGTTTTAATCTATTTCTTGATAATTTTATACAAGCCTTCAATGCGTTTCCATCATTTGTTCTCACTTTTTTTGCTCCATCTCTTCCTGTTTTTTTTCCATCCAATACCTCCCAAAACACCTTCCAACTTTATAACTTTTATTCTTCTATAACCATAGAGTCCATTTCATGCTGCCCATACAGCCATGGGTCTGAGCCACCCACTGGTCAACCTAACTGGGACCGGATCCCCTTCACCATGGT